TTACAACATATGGATTGAATTATCTTCAATTCTTTTTAAACTATGGTCAATTATATGTATAGTTAAAGTCAGAATTATTACCCCCCCTGTTTATTTTTTTCCCCATATTCTGTTTATCGAAGAGATTTTTTCAACACGTTTTAATAACTCATCTCTAATAACTGATTTATTTTATCTTTGCCATGATGACGGTACAGAATATTTGACTACATATTTTTAATACACTTTTATACAGCTTAAAGTGACATTTAAAGGCTTAACTAGGTTAATTAGGTTAACTTAGCAGACTATCGAAAAAATAAATAGCTGAAAGGGGCTAATAATTTTGACCTTAAAATGTTTTTTGCCGAAAGACTTTCTCCAGAAGAAAAAAATATTATCAGACATACTGTGAAAATTCCCTTGCTCGGTTAAACATCATTTGAGAAATATTTAAAAAATAAATTAAAAAATCAAAGGGGGCTAATAATTCTGCCTTATATATATTTATTTATATACGTCAGATTTATTTAGTTTAGTCTTTACTCCAATAAATTACTTACTAAGTAACTGGGTTAATTTTCAGACAGAAACATTAATTTAAATACAATTGTAATAAGGTAATTAGTCATTAGTTCTTTTTGTGAAGTGACTTACCCAACACTGCTCATAATTAGGGCCAGACAGAATCTGCAGACGTTGTTTTAATATTTCTGCTGAGAATTTTGTTTAAAAATCTGCAAATTTTTGCAGAATGATTTTGGGAGTATCGTAACTAAAAACTTAACATATGAAATAAAAAAAAAATACATTTTAAACTTTTATTTAATGTTTGCAATGCAAATCCAATTGGATCCTCTTTTTTGGTAAACAAAGCAAGTCTCTAATATAATAATATCTACTACAAGACAGAAAATATTACTTGACAACGTGTATTGTAAATAAATCATATGAACAATTTCTTATCAGTCAATAATATCACAGAAATTAATTACAAAACTGAATTAATAAAAATTAACAAAAGTAGAAATTTTCTGTGGAAATCTGCGGATTTCTGCACGCACAGATTCTGTGTGGGCCTACTCATAATCTATAAGCAAAACATCCCCTCCCTCTTCAACAATATATCTTTTCTGATTGGTGTTCACTAGAACAAGAGCCTGTCAATCACATGAGATCCACCAATAGGAAACCACAACCATCCAATCAATTCGTCATAGACAAAATCAAGTCCCGCCCCTCATTTGTTGTTGTTCGAAAATAAAAGGCAAAGATCTCAGTTTCCATTTTGTGCTGATGTTAAAGTACAAATGAAATCAAAGCTAATAATATTGATTTAGTTAGCTAGTTTTGTGGTGAACAACTCATCTGTGTATGTCATTAAGAAACAAAAAAAATGGTTTACCCTTGTAATCTTTAATAGAACTGTTTGTTTTCAGTTAAATTCTCAGATTATGTCTGTCTGAGGTATTGGGCGTGTCTAACACACTTAACCACGCCCCTCCAGCTGTCAGTTTTGACAAACATAAATAGCAAGGAGGAGGAGTCTGTTAGGTCTGTTTGTCTGTTGAAATTCCTAATTTACTACATCCAATCAGCTCACAGTAGAAAAAACAAGCCACTCCCACCTGTTTCTCCAGGAACTGCGTCACAATGTGACAAAAAAAAAAACAGTCGCAGCTTCTGGTTCATGCAGACTTTAACTGTTTTACCCTATTTACCTGATTCAAATGGGTTCAAACTAGGAAAATAAATCAATCTATGTGTGTGTTCAAGGTTTTGAAGGAGAGCGCTGTCAGTCATTGGTGGATCACTGTGTTTCTGGACCCTGCAGGAACGGAGCCACTTGCTCCAGCAGCCTTGAAGGACCTCACTGCTATTGTGCTGAAGGTACTCACACTATTAATAGCCTCTTCCCATGAAAATCACGTCCGACACAATCAAATCTGTTGTGTGTTTAGCCCTGTGTGTGTGTGTTTGCAAGTGTACGCGTGTGTTAAGCTTGAATTGTCCTGATTCGTGCTCTATTTCTGCTCGCTCTCTCTAAGTGTGTCAGAGAGTTGCTTATTTTAAACTCTCTTGCTTTCTTCCAATTAATCGTGAAACGCGGCCCAGCGCCGCCCCCTCTCTCTCTGGAGGACTGTACCTTCAGCGAAGGCTCTTTCTCTAAGCAGGGCAGCCTCGCAGTCAGCAGATAGAACCGGGACACTTCCTGAAGAAGCACGAAAAAAACAGTTCGGGGAGGAAATATGATAGGAGTCTCTTCAACTCTTGAGGCAGAAATGCACTCGTAGGCTGAAATACTCAGGGTTCGTACGAGTGCTGGAAAGCTTTGAAAATGCTTGAATTAAGATCCAGTGTTTTCGAGGCATGGAAAAAAGTGCTAAACTGTATGTTCACACAGACTGAGACGCTGAGAATGAAACAGCATGATGCCGACAGAAGAAAACACAAACACGAGTACAAGAGCACGCGTCCCAAACACGCACAGACCTCGAGTGCCCGCATCCAGCGGGATCGCACATGGTCTGAGCCAGGGGTCACCAACCTTTATGAAACTGAGAGCTACTTCTTGGGTACCGATTAATGTGGAGGGCTACCAGTTTGATAAACACTTCTCAAATAACAAATTTGCTCAATTTACTTTTAATTATACTTTATGTTTTTCGTAATAATGAATGATATTCATCCATGTGAAGACACTGATCATGTTAATGATTCTCACAAAATCAACAATCAACAATGATTTAACAGGGTAGGAAATATCCTGTATTTATTGTATCAATGTGCAACACTTTATTTTTTATATATCTCTGCAAATATTTACATTTTTAAATTATTACTTCTATATTAGATTAAGCTTACTGGTAAGTGGCGCTATGGTGAGCTATTTTTAGAATAGGCCTGCGGGCAACACATGGGATCCTCACAGGCTACCTGGTTCCCCGCGGGCACCATGTTGGTGACCTCTGTTCTGAGCGCACTCACTACGGAGCCCATACAGAGACACAATAACAGAACAGAGACTCAAGGCCCTATCATACACCCGGTGCAGTGGGGCGCAAGACGCGGTGCAGTAGTCTTTTGGTAGTTTCAGCTTGGCACAAGAGTCGTTTTGAGGCGTTGCGCTACGCTGTTTAAATAGCAAATGCATTAGCCATTAGCGCTCATTTTTGCGCCCATAGGCGTTCTGGTCTAAAAAGGAAGGGGTTCTGAGGCGGACCGCTGGCGCGTTGCTATTTTGAGAAACTAAAATAGATTTTTCATTAGACCAAAACTAACCCGGTCTAAACTCCAGCGCAGAGTTGCGCCTCGCTTACACACTGCTTAATACGCACAAGAGAGCAATAGGCAAATATCTTTACATATGAAAAAATGTAAATATTAAGGATGTATATAGGATATAATAAGAATAGATATAGGATATAAATATAAAGGATTAAGATATTACAAAACATATTATTTTCTAGCCTACATCAATATGAAAAACCACTGCTTTTATGTCTTCTTCATCTCGGGAGGCTTTTTCAGTTCATTCATAACAATTTGCTTTTGTATAATGTTATTATTATTAGCAGTATTATTTATTAGATCCATATTTATATTTGTTTTATTAAAAACAAGCTTAGATTTGCCCACCTGTCAGGTTTTAGACCATTTGGGGCACAGCATGTGTTTTAGGAGATAACTCAGATATAACTCTATTCATTTATTCGTTTGCTGGAAATTAGAACTGAATTTAGAAATGGTTTTGAAATGAATATTTGCACTTAACAAACAAAATTATTTATTTATAGACTAATTGATGTCTGTGCGTAAAGGTTTCCCAATCCAAGAGGCGAAAGTGAAAGTGATCCATTATCTCTCATTCTCACGCAGTAGATGCTCTGTTTAACAGTTTTCTTTTAGAAAACTGTCAACTGTTAACTGTTTGCTTGTGAAATGCTCATTTTTTCCACTTAGACTTACTTTGCGTCCTGTAAATAGCGAATGCGCTCTTGGCGTGACGCAGCTGACTCTTAAAGGGAATGAGAGATGAGATTCTAATTGGTTTATTCTCAAAACACACCTATAACTCATTAAGAAAACAAACTCAACCCTTTTAGAACATGCGCCGCAGCACAAGGCAGATTTCCCGTCCTTAAATTAGCAAAAACGCGTCCTGACACGCCCTGAAAGCATTTGCGCCCTGCGTTTTGCACTCTGCGCATGGACCGTCAAAATAGAGCCCTCAATGACATACAGGACAAGACAGTGCTAGTGTCTAGACTCTGCCACCAAAAAAAGAATTTACATGGGCAGAGTGGCAGAACCCTGACAGCAAAAAATTATTAAAAATATAATTTATTTTTACAATTATTATCTGGTTATACTCACATACCACCACAACACAACTGTTTAAAAGCCTTATAGATTTTTTTTTTTTTTTTTTGCATAATAGGACCCCTTTAAAACATATTTAAATACAATCAAAATCACAGTCTGGGTTCATATTCTTTTTATTCACTTATTTTCCCACTCGCTCATAAGCCAACATGGGTTTATACATTCAGTAGTACTTAAGCATTTGTAATCCCACCGGCCCTTCACCGCCCAACCCGCTCCGAGCTGGGATAGAACCGGCGACCTTCCGCATGGGAGTCGGTTGATCTAACAAGGAGGCTAAAAACCATGGCCTCTAGTGTCTGTCGCTAGAGCACCTTTAGAGGTCAGAGGAGTGAGGTTTACCTGCACAGCACACACTAGCTGGCCTCCGTTACACTCACCCACCTAAACCTCACTCCCATCCGGGTCACGGCACCAATGTAACCCCACCGGTCCTACGCCACCCAACCCGCTCCGAGCTGGTATCGAACCGACGACCTTCCGCATGGGATTCGGTTGCTCTACCAAGGAGGCTAAAGACCATGGCCTCTAGCGTCTGTCACTAGAGCAACCTTAGATGTCAGAGGAGTGAGGTTTACCTGCACAGCGCACACTAGCTAGCCTCCGTTACATATATAAAAGTAATGTAGAGAAGTTCAAGAGGGAAGAGGTTTGACAAATTCAAAACGATTTGTACTCACACTTTGTTTCTCCTTTTGTGTTTCACAAAAAAAAACATGGAATGATATGAGGATGATGACAATCTGCACTGAATAATGGCAGCATTTTCATTTCTGCTTAAACTATTCTTTCAATTCTGGCAGTGAAAAACATTCATGTTGGCTCTGTCAGGCTGTGCGAGTTTCATTACGATAATGCATGAAAGTGCTCCAGTAAGGGAAACTGTGCGGTGGGCGGATCAGCGCACTGAGCTCTATTTCTCTGTGTGTGACTGACATTTATTGAAGGGATCATAGCAGCGAAGCTTGTAATCTGCTGGTGTGTGCATGTTTGGGAGAGGAGACTACATACGCACAAAAACACAAACATACATGTGTAGGTTTTTGTCTAGTTAAACTCCAACCCTCAATCGTAGGCCTGGCACGATATACATTTGTACGATATATTGCCCCAAAATACATTGCGATTAAACAATATTATTGTCATTTTAAGACCAGTTTGTGTCACTTAATATATAATGCCAGAGATGCAATTTAATATCATCACGATGCAGCTACACTCTTCCAAAGAACATATACTTTATTCTTAAGAATATTTAATTTAATTATAGTTATAATAATAATAATAATAATAATAATAATAATAATAATAATAATAATAGCCATTGGAATCAAAAATGTGAAAATATATATCCTAAATAAATAAAGAGAAATGTTTACAAAAAAGTGCAAGGTAAAAAGTAATACAGGCTGCTATTACCAGTTACCAGATCTATTTTCAGCTGTCAGACACCCACATGAATATATACTACAGTAATTTATAGTAAATACTATAGTGTTTCTTAATCATACTGGCACTGACAACTCCAATAGAGATAGATATGTTGCAACGAATGTGATTGATGAATCACTTTATACGCATGTTAACAATGCATTCGGAAAGTATTGATAGCGCTTCACTTTTTCCACATTTTTTTATGTTGCAGTCTTATTCCAAAATGGATTTAATTAACTTATTTCCTCAAAGTTCTACACACAATACCCTATAATGACAATGCGAAAAAAGAGTTTTTAAAATTGTTGCAAATTTACTAAAAATAAAAACCTGAAAAATCGCATGTGCATCAGTATTCACAGCCTTTGCTCAATACTTTGTTGATGCACCTTTGGCAGCAATTACAGCCTCAAGTCTTTTTGAATATGATGCCACAAGCTTGGCACACCTGTCTTTGGGAATTTTTACCCATTCCCCTTTGCAGTACCTCTCAAGCTCTATCAGGTTGGATGGGAGGGAAGCATTGGTGTACAGCCATTTTCAGATCTCTCCAGACATGTTCAATAGGATTTAGGTCTGGCCTCTGGCTGGGCCACTCAAGGACATTCACTGAGTTGTTGTGAAGCCACTCCATTGATATTTTGGTGGTGTGCTTTGGGTCATTGTCCTGCTGGAACATGAACCGTCACCCCAGTCTGAGGTCAGGAGCACTCTGAAGCAGGTTTTCATTCAGGATGTCTCTGTACATTGCTAAATTCATCTTTCCCTCTATCCTGACTAGTCTTCCAGTTCCTGCTGCTGAAAAACATCCCCACAGCATGATGCTACCACCACCATGCTTCACTGTAGGGATTAGCCTGGTGATGAGCGCTGCCTGGTTTTCTCCAAACGTAACGCCTGGCATTCACTCTAAAGAGTTCAATTTTAGTCTCATCAGACCAGAGAATTTAGTTTCTTATGGTCTGAGAGTCCTTCAGATGCCTTTTGGCAAATTCCAGGTGGGGAGTGGCTTCCGTCTGGCCTCTCTACCATACAGGCCTGATTGGTGGATTGCTGCTCAGATGGTTGTCCTTCTGTAAGGTTCTCCTCTCTCCACAGAAGAACGCTGGAGCTCAGACAGAGAGACCATCGGGTTATTGACCACCTCCCTAACTAAGGACCTTCTCCTCCGAACACTGAGCTAGGATGTCCGGCCAGCTCTAGGAAGAGTCCTGCTGGTTCCAAACATCTTCCACTTACAGATGATGGAGGCCACTGTGCTCATTGTAACTTTCAGAGTAGCAGAAATATTTCTGTAACTTTCCCCAGACTTGTGTCTTGAGATAATCCTGTCTTGGAGGTCTACAGACAATTCCTTTTTCTTCATGCTTGGTTTGTACTTTGACATGCACTGTCAACCCTGGGCCCTTATATAGACAGGTGTTTGCCTTTTCAAATCATGTCCAATCAGCTGAATTGACCACAGGTGAACTCCAATGAAGCTGCTGAAACATCTCAAGAGTGATCAGTGGAAGCAGAATGTACCTGAACTCAATTTAGAGCTTCACAGCAAAGTCTGTGAATACTGATGTAAATGTGATCTATCAGCTTTTTTATTTTGAATAAAGTTGCAACAATTTCAAAAGCTCTTATTTCACATTGTCATTATGGGGGATTGTGTGTAGAATTTTGAGGAAATAATTTAATCTATTTTGGAATAGGGCTGCAACATAAAAAACATGTGGAAAAAGGGAAGCGCTGTGAATACTTTCCGGATGCACTGTACATACAGTATGTAATCAGATGTGTGTGTATGTATATATTCTGAGTATGTGTGTGTGTATATATATATATATTCTGTTTTTATTTTTTATCTATTATCTATTGTGGATTTGGGTTAACAAAATTGACCATATTGAGTGTGTGTAGGAATGTGTGAGTGTATGAGTGTTTCCCAGTGCTGGGTTCTGGCTAGAAGGGCATCCGCTGCATGAAACATATGCTAGAATAGTTAGCGGTTCATTCCGCTGTCGTAACTCAGCTTAAAAATAAGGGACTCAGCCAAAGGAAAATGAATGAAATTAATCTCATGTGGATACTGATAGAATTTTTAATTTCCCCTCGGGATAAATGAAGTATCTATCTATCATCAATCTATCATTCATCAAGCCACCAAAGGTGGCTCCAGCAAAATCACTCCATTAAATCATTATAGTTGTATCAGAATGAATACCATCATTACAGTAATTGATGAAAACCGGTCCCTTTATGCTACAATCATAGTCTCTTCCTCTCTTTCTCTCTGTTAGGTTATCAGGGCATCATGTGTGAGCAGAAGATTGATCCCTGTGCTTCAGGGCCCTGCCATAATAATGCCAGCTGCTCCCCACAGGGTGCTGGTTTGGGCTTCAGCTGCACTTGTCCTGCAGGTTTCACTGGACCCACCTGTGCCCAGCTGGTGGACTTCTGTGCCCTCAACCCATGCGCTCACGGCATCTGCCGCAGCATCGGCACTAGTTACCGCTGTCTGTGTGTTCCAGGTGAGAATCTCGTCTGCTTGCTGCTCAGAGCTCTGTTTCTCCCTTCTGATCCGTCTGGTTGTCATGGCAACTGCCTCCCGTGTATTGCGTGCTCAGACATCATTGTCTGTGAAGTGTGACTGCAGCAGCTGTGCAGCCAGATCAGCCCGTCCACTGATATCAACCCCGCTCGGATAAGAGCCGTCCGATGGGACCGCTGTGTTCTCCAGTGGGACTGCAAATATGCACTATGAAGGTGACACTTCTGACTACAAATGCCTGTTCCGGTGGGACTGCTGTGCTTTTCACAGTCAATGAGAACAAAATGGTCCCCATCAGAAATAATTAGCCAGTGATTTAATGGCAGCATTCACAGCCTTCGGTATCTATTAGGGTTGTTTGCAAAGTAAAATTGAAGTAAAAATTTTTTTTTTGTGTGTGTGTGGGTGCATGGTGTAATTTTCACAATCAGAATAATGGCAATGCACTGTGTGTGATGGAGTCCATCTAGTAGTATCCGAGCAAAAAAGTGTGTTTTGTTTAAAAGCATAGACCTCTAACCGACTAATGACATAAGTATAATAAACATCTGATAAACGTCCAAATGGCTATCGAAATAAGTCTATTAGACATCTAATAGACATCTAATAAACATATAAATGGCAATCGAGATCAGTCTAATAGACATCTAATAGACAACTAAACGGCAATTAAAACAAGTCTAATAGACATCTAAATGACAGTCAAGATAAGTCTAATAGACATCTAAACAACAATCAAATTAAGTCTAACAGACATCTAAACGACAATCAAGATAAGTTTAATAGACATCTAAACAACAATCAAATTAAGTCTAACAGACATCTAAACGACAATCAAGATAAGTTTAATAGACATCTAATAGACATCTAAATGGCAATCAAATTAAATCTAATAGACATCTAAACGACAATCAAATTGAGCCTAACAGACATCTAAACGACAATCAAGATAAGTTTAATAGACATCTAATAGACATCTAAATGGCAATCAAATTAAATCTAATGGACATCTAAACGACAATCAAATTGAGTCTAACAGACATCTAAACGACAATCAAGATAAGTTTAATAGACATCTAAACGGCAATTAAAATAAGTCTAACAGACATCTAAATGACAATCAAGATAAGTCTAATAGACATCTAATAGACATCTAAATGGCAATCAAAATTAGTTTAATAGATATCTAAACGGCAATGGAGATAAGTCTAATAGACATCTAAACAACAATCAAATTAAGTCTAACAGAGATCTAAACGACAATCAAGGTAAGTCTAATAAACATCTAAAGGCAATCGAGATAAGTAAAATAGACATCTAACAGCAATCGGAATAAGTCTATTAGACATCTAATAGACATCTAAATGGCAATTGAAATAAGTCTAATAGACATCTAAATGGCTATCAAAATAAGTCTAATATACTTCTAAACGGCAATGAAGATAAATCTAATAGACATCTAATAGACATCTAAATGGCAATCAGAATAAGTCTAAGAGACATCTAAACAACAATCGAAATAAGTCTAATAGACATCAAAATGGCAATCAAAATAGGTCTAATAGACTTCTAAACAGCAATCGGAATAAGTCTAATAGACAGCTAGCAGAGATCAAAATAGCAGTCAAAATAAATCTAATAGACATCTGAACAACAATCGGAATGTCTAATACATATCTAATAAACATCTAAATGGCAATCGAAACAAGTCTAATAGACATCTAAATAGCAATCAAAATAAGTTTAATGTACATCTAATAGACATCTAAACAGCAATTGACATAGGTCTAATAGACATCTAAACTGCAATCAAAATAAATCTAATAGACATCTAAACGGCAATCAAGATAAGTCTAAAAGATATCTAAATGGCAATCGGAATAAGTCTAATAGACATCTAATAGACATCTAAGCGACAATCGAGATAAGTCCAATAGACATCTAAACAGCAATCAAAAATCAGGAATGTATGACTAAACATGTGAAGTAAATCTGTTTATATGATGATTAGTCTAGTTTTACGTTTAGATTTTCAATGACAGTTTAGTTTCAATTTAGCTTTTTTATTGTAGCCAAGCCGTTGAAGTTTAGATATCTATTAAACACAAAATTGCTTGATGGGATGACAGACACTACCAGATGATGCTGGTAGCTGTAGGTATTTAGCATCTCTTTAAGCGACCCCACCTCCCATGCTGGAAATGCTGCTTGGAATCCAGCTGAGGGCTGTGCAAGTAGAACCGTAGGGGTTACTTTGGTGTTGTGATCCAGATGGTAGTGACGTTTAGTGTAAAAACCTCACTCAACTGATCTCCAGAGGAAATCTTTTTGTTGTGTTTGGCGTTATGTAATAAACATATAAATGGCAATCGAGATAAGTCTAATAGACTTATAACGTCGCATTTTGTTTGAAAAAGAAAATCTGGTTTAAGTCAGAAACCAACATCAGGCCGATGTCAGTGTCAAACATCGGACAAGCATTTTGGTTACCTTCCAACATGCAAACAATAAAATATGAACATCTAATGATGTTAGAGCTTGACGTTGTGTGGACATTACCACTACGACGGCTACCCGATGTTGTATTTTGTTTGCAGTATCTGATGAATAAATGTCAGTATTTGCCGTCAACATGACGTTGGTTTAAGATGTTGGCTCGATGTTGAATTTTGCTCACTTTCCAAAATCAACAAAAAATCAATGTAATTTCATTATTGTCCTTAGACGCTGGCAACCTAAATCTAAACTTATATTAATCTACTATAATGTTGGGTGTTTGCTTGGTAGTCGTAGTTTGCAATATAACACCTTCACCAGCCACTGTATAAGACACTGCTTGCTGATGCTAATATCTAATCAGCCAATCACATGGTAGCAAATATATGTTTTTAGTCATGTCAACATGCTCAAGATGATCTGCTGAAGTTCAAGCCAATCATCAAAATGAGGATGTTAGTATTTCAGAAACTGCTGAACTACTTGGATATTTTCACTCCCAACCATCTTTAGGGTTTACAGAGAATGGTCTAAAGCAGTGGTCACCAAACTTGTTCCAGGAGGGCCGGTGTCCTTCAAATTTTAGCTCCAACTCTAATTAAACACACCTGAACAAGCTAATCAAGGCTTTACAAGGTATACTTGAAACATCCTGGCTGGTGTATTGAGGCAAGTTGAAGCAAAACCCTGCATGAACACCTGCCCTCCTGGACCGAGATTGGTGACCCCTGGTCTAAAGTACAAAAAAATGAATGTGAGGTTTGTATATTGATTGCATACAAATGCATGTGGTATATAATGATGCACCTTTTCCTCTGGTCATATATTTTCATGTATACATATTGGCAATGATATATATCAATATATTTATATCTATAGATCAATATGTTGTATGTACAATACACAAAAAAGCAGACTTCAGATTGCTCTTGTTCATTTTATCCTGTAAACCCCATCAAAACTAAACACTGCTCTCTAGTGGACAAAATGTAATGTTGAAATATCATGTATGCTCTACTTACCCCATTTATAACCAACTACACAGTAATTCAGCGTGTTTCTCTCTGTCCTCTTAGGTTATCATGGTCTGTACTGTGAGGAGGAGTATAATGAATGCCTGTCTGCTCCGTGTCAGAATTACGCCACATGCAGAGATCTGATCAACGCTTACGAGTGCATCTGCGCCTCTCAGTTCACAGGTGCGTTCTCAAGCAGGGCTTTGCCTAATTTGCATGTACAGTTAATTTACTCGGGGGTTGACTTAATTTGTGAAATGACGATTTTGATCGTGGGTTATTTTCAGGTAAGCACTGTGAGATCTATAAGGACCCCTGTCTGAAGCTCAGGTGCCAGAATGGAGGACACTGTGAAAGTGGAGGGAGAAACGCGTCCTGTGTGTGTCCTCCAGGATATATGGGTGAGTATTAGTGTTTGTGTGATCATGCATCTGTGTTCACAAAGTGAAGATCATTTTGTGTGTATGGAATGGATTACCCAGATGCTTAACGTAGAATCATAAACAGGGCCTAAAATTAACATCTTTCTATTCCAGGCAATGATCTTCGACTTGAGAAAACTAATGGACATAAATATATATATATATAAAAAAAAAATATATATATATATATATATATATATATATATATATATATATATATATATATAT